AAAGAAGAGCTAACATTTTCTTTGTCTTGTTCCGTACTCTGCAGGGAGTTTCTTTACTGAAGCTGCAATTTGATTCTCTGCACACTGCTGCTGAATGTTCTGACGGTGTCAAAGCAGACTTAACATGTCTGGATCGACTCCAGCAGTCTGATACGGCGTCGGAGTGCCTGGATACAACAACACAAGGGAGTTGGTTAGAAAATTGCCCAGTGGAGAGCAGCAGCACTGTTGATTGTAGACACAGTGCGCCTGGAAATGCAGAGAAAGACTGTAGTTTGACTGTGAGTACTCCAACATCAGAAGTACACCCCCAGGAGCATGGCCTCGTTCCCCCAGAGGACTGGGTGTGTTCAAACACGGAGAGAGATTACTCCAAAGCAGAGGAGGAGGAGGAACAGGAGCGGCCTGTTGTTTCCATGCAGGGTTTGAGTTTGTCTGACAGGACTGAAGGAGTACAGAGTGAGGCTGAAGGGAAAGGTCTCACTGTGGGAATTCTACCACAGGCAGGCTGTGGTAAACAGGCAGAGGAAACTGATAGAGGAGAGGCTGTGATCCAGGAAGGACAGGAGGCCAAGAAGGGAGAGGATAGATCTGAGCAGGAAGCAGAGGACAGCACAGCCAAGAGGAGGGAGGAGGAGATCAGCTCTGAATTAACAGATCTACTAAAGGCCAGCGGAGACACAAACGAGTCAATCATGGGTCAGTCAGCATCGTCATCATATTCTGAGGTTTCAGACAATTCTGATTCTGAAGTGAAGGAGTGCTCCCAAGAAGAAGAGACTGTTGGGAAAGAAGACGCGAAACACAGCCGGGATGTCTGTGATGTACTATCTGTAGATGCAAACGAGGAAGAGAGTGAAGGGTTAACAGACACGTTATCAACCCCGATGGACCTCCCAGACCCAACGCTGATAGAGTGTGGTGATGTAATCAAGGAGCCTGAACCTGTTCCATGTCTGTTGATAGAAGGTCTCCACGAAGGGGAACCTCTACCAGACATAAACAGCCTGGAACAAAACCAGGAAACAGCTGGTAGGGATTATGCTACAGAGCAGGAGTGGGGTTTGGCATCAGAAAGTGGTTGTCATTCTGGGAGTTGTACTGACGCAGTTGGTGGAAAAGAGCTACACAGTGAAGACGTAGTAGAACCCTCTGGATACAGGATTGAAAGCAGCATTTTGCCTGCGGAAGAAGCTGACAGTTCAGCTGTCTTTTTGGCTTTCAGTGACGTCGTAGTAGATACACAGACTGATAGTTTTGACTGTGAGCCGTTGCCTGACAAGATGCCGACTGAACGACAAGCTGACCACGACTCAGGTACGGCCCACGGACTCTCCAGTGACGACGATGGCAGTTTCAGATCAGCTGGAAGCTCTACAACAGAAATATTCCAGCCCGCTCATGGCAGCGTCGCTATGGAGGATCAGGACTTACTTCAGTCAGTGATAGTACGGCAGCCCTCAGCTGGATTTGAGATTGAGGCCCCCAGTGATTTTAAACCTGAAGAAACCTGTGAACATTTCACAACTGTGGATACAGGACTCTCATCGGAGCCTGACACCCAGCTTGAGTCAGAACCCAAACTCTTGAGCTTGGATGATTTAAATTCTGAAGCGACTGAGAATCTAGCCCCAGATCTTTCCAAAGAGGATCTGTCCTTTGACTCAGCTGGGAGTGAGGATACTCCAACAGCACAGGTGGAGGAAAGTGAAACTGAGGAGACCAATAGCTCTGACCTGAATGTAGGGATAGAGCTTTCAGCATCAGGATTGGGCAGCGGGGCACTTACCGAAAC